AAGCCATGCAACTTTTGTTCAAATTTTTCAATAAAATCATCGATTCGTGAGATAATTGACATTACTTCATAAACGGTTAAAAACACTTTTCACTTTTTAAACTTTCCTTTAAACTTACATCGAAAACGTGATGTAATGAAACACTTTTGTTCTCAAATTCGTAATCTTCTAAAAGCAAAAAAAGTGTCCAAAATGTTGTACGGAAACGCTTCCCTCAAAACAAGATTTTTATGCAAAAAAAAATGCATTTTCACAAAGTTCCCCAAACTTTGACCAATTTTAAGTGTCATATTCGCAATTAGCAGGTCCAAAAACATAAAGATAGACTAATTTCATACATTTATATGATGGGCAAATTTTTGCCACTTTTGGACATCGTTCCTTCCATAATGCATATAATGAATTTTCATGGGAAAAAAAGAGAAAAGATGTTTAATCGTTCTTACCAGAGACTAATTTAAAACCCGTCTGTCGTTGATGTCCGCTGCATGCAAAATCGATGACAAATCGTGGCCGATTCCTATCAGACATTTCATCAAGGAAACCAATGAACGTGGAGTATATCGTTATCTAAATTTCCACGATCGTTTCGTGAAATGTATTTGAAGGAGCATATAATGGTATTTTAATCACGTTTCCCAGAAAGTCAAACGGACCTTGCGTTGTCGACCAGCCGAAACATTCAAAGTATTTCGATGACAAATGAGACTGATTAGCAAGTTTAATGAGACAGAACGGTATAGTGGCTTAAAGACCGACCATGTTTGGTATGGGTTCAAAAATGGTCTTCCGAATGATTTAAAGGGATATTATGGAAAACGGATATTTAGTTGAGGTTAAAACGACAAAATGGTAATTTTAAGTACCTATGTCTATATTTGTACGAAAATTATTCTGAATAAACATGGTACATGCATTTGCGAAGAATTTTAAGTAAATTCTACCGTTAATTAAATTAACTCTCTGCGATTAAAAGACGAGATATTAATTATACACAACACAATAGACTCTCGTTATATTGCCGCGGATAGGATTATAGAGAAAGGGAAATTTTTCAATTTTCTAAGCTCTTATTTGGAGGGAAGAGAAAGGATAGAAGTGGAAATGAAAGATAAAAGTTAAAAATTCGTAAAGACTACTGTAGTTTTATACTAGATTCCTTATATAGCCAATCTCATGGTATTTTACTCAAGATAATTTTTACAAGAACTATTCAGCCAATTTTCATCCACGCTAATCAGTACTCACCGCTCTAAACACAATTAGCACGGGCAATTTCACTAGTTGTCCGTAGCCGCAGAACTGGTAATTAACAGAATTCAATTTCGCACGTAATTAGACGATCTGACAGAAACGTCGTAGGATATCCTTGCTTTTCACGATTCGTTTCACTTTTGTTGTTTCGAACCTCGGTGTCGCTCATAAAGCTTACGTAAATCGTAATTTGCGTTAGAACCGCGTAATTTCGTGGCCCGTGTGCACGAACAGGACTCACCGTGAGTCCACGCGATGAATATTCATTCGTGTCTCCGCTGCTTCCCTAATCATCACGCACAACAGACATATGCTGCCATTCTACCAACTAAAGGATGTTTACGAAGCAATTGAACGATCTAACCGTGCTTGGATTAGATGTACCATGCTCAACAATAGAATTGAGATCAAGTTCAACGTGTACTCATAAATCCCAGTGAATTTTAAAATGAAAATGAGTAACTGGCTGAACTTTACTTTGGAGCACACAAAATTATTCACTTTTTTTATCAATTCTGATAGCGTTCAATAATTTTTAACTCTTTGACTACTGAGAATTCTAGGCTTGAACGTTCTGTCTGTACGAAATAAGAATCAAGTCAATAACACTTATTACTTTTCTTTTTATTCTATTTCATTTCTCAATTCATTTTTTTATTTGTTTCTCTTTTTCAGTGTTTTGTCATATCATTACAATGTAATAATATATGATGTGTAATTAGTAATATGCGTTGATAATTTTTATTTAATTATGAATAGTATATACAAGAAATAATCCATGGACGCAGATACACATCCATAGTCTGCACCGATAGTCCGATGCATCGATGCGTCCATAGCAGTCAAAGGGCTAATATTTTCAGTATTTTGACAGATTACTTTGTCCCTGATAACAATAATTATTTTTGGAATTTATCACAGTTTCCTTTTGTTATATCACAGAATTCATCTGTCCGAACGAATGGGTTATTATTTCGTATTTGCATAATAAACGCCTTGTCGTCTTATCCAGTCTGTCGTATTCGAACGAGATGATTTTCGATACACGATGATCGATCATCCACATGAAAACCTGTCGAACATCGTAGAAGTGTTTTCGTGGGTGTCCAATTTAAGATCTCATCGAAGAAATGATTCATCAAGAATAAGTGTTGTTCATTATGTCGTGGCGCGATTGATGTCTGCCGTGAGAAAGAAACGTAGAGGAGCTCGATAGTGTATGCAAAACAAAAAAAAATAAAAAAATACATACTGATCGAATTGAGTAACCTGCTCCTTTTCGAAGATGGTTAAAAAAAGGAGATATTTTAGGAAAAGCCGCGGATTTCCGAGTAACCTTTGATCGTTTCCACGTTTATCATCGCGTAGACGTAACACGAGTGATGTAAAGTTTAATCTGTTCAGTGCCTTTCTAATATCTAAACGAATGCTGTGGGATTAATTTGCAACAGTGATTTGACTTTAGTTTGTTAAAGCTAGCTTTGATCTTTCCATAAACGACTCCTGACCATAGTTTTCATTTCATTGGCGTTTGAAGTTGATTTATTTGAGTTTAAACAAAGTAAAACTATTAAAAGTATATGTACTTAACTTTCGTGTCATCAATTTTTAAGATCAAAAATTTATTCATTAAACATTTGTATTTCAAAAGCCATTCATGTATGAAGTAACCTAAAAAAATTCTACAGTAGAATTAATCGTTCTTGTTTTGATACGACAAGAAGGAGATTAATTCCTGATTTACGTGTTGATTTTTGCTGGTCATCGAATTCAACGTAAAATGCAAGCTGCACCGTTCGTGTTCGAATGCACTCTCTACTGTTCCGTTATAAAGAAATACCAACGGTGATGCTAATGAGGTAAATTGAAGTTTCAAATGAGTCGTAAAAGGTCTGATAACTCCTTTCGAAAGCAGTCATTTCTTCCTTTCACCAATGGAAGAAAAAGTACTATTTAGAGGGAGATAAACTTGAAGTTTGGTCGCGTGAAGAGATATTCAAATGAATCTATATAAATATCTCTAAATCTTTGTTGCGTGGGTTCAGTTTCAAGAAAATGCTTGAAAATTTATTATTGTACGATACTATTCCAAGCGAAGTTAGAAAAAATTGTAGAAAAAGAAATTTTGTGAAAATTTTTGTCTTCATAAGTGCATCGATGCACTTGCATAAATGCAATATGTTGAACATTGCAAAGTTTGTATTTTTAATTTTTTGAAACTTCATTTGGAATAGAAATATTGAAATTGTTATTTAGCAGTATTGTGAAATGCCTAATGCTATTAAAATGAGAATCACTAACGTTAAATTAGTACGTACATATAAGGAACATCTTAATAACTTTATTTTCTTCTCATTAACGATTCTGTTATTCAAAATCACTATTATACAGTGTGTCCCGCGTAACTGGAAACACTCCATTATTTCCTAAACTATTAAAGATACAAGAAATTGCTTTGGTGATCATTGCATGGTAAAAGGGGGCAACTTTTTGACGTAGACGAATTTTTTTTTGCATTCTTATTTTCAAAAATATAATGGCAATGTTTGGTTTTTTAAATGGAACTATATATTTTTCTTTCGATCATTTGATAGTGTTTTTGAAGTCGAATTCATTAAGCTTGCATGTATATACTTGATTTTCATTTGTTTTCGAGATATTGCACTAACAAATTTGGAGATTTTTCACGGGAAAAATTCACTTTAGTGGGAAATATCAGCAGGGGTCCTGTTCGCTATCAAATGATCGAAAGAAAAATATATAGTTCCATTTAAAAAATCAAACTTTGCCATTATATTTTTGAAAATAACAATGCAAAAAAAATTCGTCTACGTCAAAATGTTGCCCCCTCTTACCATGCAATGACCACCAAAGCAATTTCTTGTATCTTTAATAGTTTAGGAAATAATGGAGTGTTTCCAGTTACGCGGGATACACTGTATATAACATCGCGGGATTATTTAAATATATTTAAATATAGATTGAAATTCAGATTGTACATATTTTAAATAATAGGAGGTCTTTTCCTGTATTTCTCATGAAAAACAAAGAAGCAAAAGTTAACCTTTCTACAATTTCTCGCAAAAATAATGTATTTTTCATCTCTGGCGCTTATATTATGCATATAAGTATCGTTTGTTCTCTCATTAAGTAGAAAAGTTAAATGATTGTCTGTTATCCACGGAAAACATGTTATTCTATGATGAAAAATATCGTAAAAAGGGGTTACTGTGTTTTTTAAGATATCTACCTTCATGGAAGTTGTTAAGAAAAGATAGTAGGAGCTAATAAAGTGTTCATTGATCTATTAATTTATTAACACATTGAATGTAAGTAAGTAGGGGGGAAGGTGGATTTGGCCCCTTAAAAGTGTGGCTGGCCAAAAAATTTTAGAATTTCCAAATTTTTCAATTCCAATTTTCCGGATTCCCAAAATTGTAGAATTCCAAAGGTTTTCAACTAAAAAATTAAAAAATTTTTCAATTCCAAAATTCCGGATTATCAAAATACTAGAGTTCCAAAATTTTTCGATTCAAATATTCAAAAATTCCAGAATTCCAAAATTTAAAAATTCATGACTTTTTAAATTTCAGGCTTCCAAAATTCCAGAATTCTAAAATATCTATGGGACCTGGTCCACCCCAGAAAAAATCCTACTTATGTCAATAATTAATTAAGTAACTTTTCTTCTTCACCATACAACTTTCTTTTACCTTTGCATCGATTAAATAAAACACAAAACGTACCTGTCTGTGGTGGTCAATTTATAAACGTTGTCGAAGATGTTTCCCCGTTCCGACCGAGGGCTCTCTTCTTTGACATTCTCGCTTATATCGAGATTCTGAAAGTGCAGGGTTCTCGTGTTCGCGAAGTTTGGCTCTTCAGAATTCATTGTGCATCATCAAGGAAGCTGTGCTGGTCACAAACACGGAAATCGACGGTGACGCGACACGGACACACTATAAAATCGATTGAACCAATCTTTCGAGGACTCTGAATAATTTGTTCGATCGATGATCGTATTTTTGAAGCAACTTCGACTACCGAAAGATTATAAACGATAGAAACGTAAAGCGTATTTGCGATTAAATACACGATGTCGCGTTAATTTTTTTCTAATTCACGTTACAACGTACCACACGCTATGACGCCATAAAACAAACTTTTGTTTGGTGAAGAAGAAAGACCAGAACGATGCTCTATTGTTTCATTTTCTCCATTATATTAAACAAATCGAGCGTAACAGAGGAGTTGATTGTAAGATTCGCTTCGTAATACATATCATTAGAACAATTGATACGTATTTCAGGAAATTAGTCTTACCAAATGTTTCGAAGAATTGAAATTTTCCATCGCGTAAATTATGTCGTACTTATGCCATTTTAATTCATTCTTGAGCATCGGCGTAACTAAAGGTAAAAATCTGGACATTCTAAAATTCTAAAGTTCTAAAATTTTTAAATTTTTAAATTCTAAAATTCTAAAATTTTGAAATCTTTAAGAGACTAGGCCCACTCCAGAAGAAGGTCCAAATTATTCCACTGTATTTTAGGATTGAATTTGTGAACCTTTTACCTCGTGTACGAAATAAAATTCCTCCGTATAGAAATTTTATTGAATGTCAAAGAGGCGTTTAATAAATCAGTTGATGATTGTAGTTGATTAGTAATTCAGAGAACTGATGACTATACTTGTATTTATATATACAGAGAACAGGTCAATTAACGAGTGGTGATTGATACTTTTATGGATCTACATTCTTCTCTTTGATAAATAAAATATAGACAATGTGTGACATTAGTAACGATTTCAGGGATCACAAAAATAAGAAGAATCTTTTTAATTTTTCTTTAACTAATGTGACAGCTACGAATGATTGTTCATTATTCAAGGATAAAAAATGAATTTTCCACGCTTAAACCAGTCACTCGATATTTTTTCTCAAGAACAACGGGATATTTTGCAAACGCTTATCGAACAGTGATAATTTTTCTGATTTCACATCGTTGACTCGTAAAAACTTTAATGAAACCGGTTTCCACAGCTAACGGGTTGTCATAAATGAACGATACGAACACTTCGAATTATCATCGACCAGGGTGAAATCCTCTGTGGCGAAGATGAAGGCCAAGGTTAAGTATCTTTGCAATAATAGTAATGCAAATCGAGGGGGTATTGTAATTGAAAGGAAAAGATAACGGTCTTCTTTCTGCTTAAAGGAATGTTATAGAACTTCGATAAAGAATTATGAAATTACTAGTTTGAAGCTGTACCATTAAAAATCATAGTTACCATAGAAAGAAGTAGATCATAGATGAATAAAATATTCAGTGACTAATGATCAAATATCTTTTAAAACGAATATAATTTGTTATTTGTTACTAAATAATAATATATTAGTAGCTGTTATTAAAAAATTAATGCTTATATTTCAGTTCTTGAATTACATAAACAATTAATAGAATGCAATTATAAAATAATTGATTAACGCAGCTCTGGCATCTACAGAAAAAAATAAGCAATAATAACTTGGATCATCAAACTAGGAGCAGACTTAGTTATTTATGCTATTTAATTCATACAATAGTAGCATAGGAAACTATGCTAAGCTATTAATGCAAAAGTTGTTTAAATCTTATTTTTAAACGCTTTTTTCATGTTATTGCATATTTGAATATAAGCAATGGTTGCAGATCCAACGAGACTCAACATATCTTTATTTTCGAGGGGTTGTGATTGTAAAAATGTGATCACTCATTGTCAGTACCTCGAGCCTAGTGTTGCCAAATCTCATTGTTAATAACAAAGCATATAACCTTTTTGTATCTATAGTCACTATTATAAATTAGCCCCTTTAAACTGAAGCGCGTCAGTCTGTCTTCTGTCTTCGGACATCGAAGAAATTGAGGGTGTTCTCATTTTTTATAGGAGTGTCATCTATACAAAAACGGTTGAAACTACTTGGCAACTTACCGATCAATATTTCTTTCTTTCAGTAATTTTACAAGTTGTAAGGGAACACTAGCACTATCTATCAGAAGGTATAGTGCACCGATGACAAGATGTCCCATGAGACAAATGCAAATGCGTGCTTCTCATGGGACATCTTGTCATCGGTGCACAGTACATAGTGAAACGTAAGTTGTCGAGTAGTTTCCGCTATTTTTGAATAGATAGTGCTGGAATGAAATGCAAGCCTCGAGGTCGAACTCCGAATTCTGCGTCGGTAAAACAGCCCACGTTTGATCGAAAATTAAGCTGAAGAGAAACTGATTTAAGCGCCATCTCAGTTATAGCAGCAACCTAGTCCGCGTCACTTTTCGTATGCACCTAAATGACCCACGTATGCTACGATAGCTATATTATGTATGACGAATCGTTAGACGAATTTTGACGTGTCGCCAGAGAAACTACAAAAAGAAACTACTTTCTCGAGGGAGTTCGGCTCACCTTTGATGTAGTCACAGCCGAGAATTGAAGAAAAAAAGCAAGTTTATAAATACCCGTGTTCGTGTGAGACAATCCTAACGCAATCAAAATTTAAGATTAAAACTTTTTTATTTTTGGTTCATTTTTATGAAATTTTTATCAAACTGTTTGTGAAAAACTCCCGATTAAAATGATACCAAACTCGACATAGTTTTTGGTACTAAAGTGTCATATTCTACGGCACTATATAAGTACATAATTAAACAATACTGACCATGCATTCATTATTATTAATTTTCTTTCCGTAAAATTCTATTTGCAATGTGGTACACTTTAGAATCTCAAAAGCGTAGTTCCTGAAAAAAATATAACAGAGATTAAATAGAAAAAAAAGCATAAATTTCGCAGTCAATTCCCTCGTATTATTTACTGCATAATTAATAAATATACCATAGAAATAACGATACAGTTATTAACTAGTCATCAAATAATAACGATTGCCTAGGTCTCACCACGGGGAGGTTGCTGCGGTTCGGAGACCCGCCCTAACACATCCCATCCACCCTCCATTTATGCAAATTTTTATTTTCATTCAATAACATCATCCTCTTGATGCACATTTGCAAAACGTTTCGATTGTTATGCAAACGAACAACAAAAGGAGCATTATCTTTATTTACTACCTGGCTACTTATACAATTTTTTCATTTTGATTACAGATCTGTAATTAGTAATATGAAATTGCATATCTGTCTTACATCTAAATATTAAGAATACGAGTGCTCGTATAATGACAAAAATCCTCTTAAATCTAAAATTTCCTAATTAAACACTGCAGTGATTAAACTTATTTATATACTTATTCAATTACTTAACTTTCGGGTCCATAAGATATAATAGTCCTACCTAACCATTAACTTACAAACTGCCTATATAAAAATCTAAAGGGATATGAACAAATACCTCTAATAAATTTGTTGGTTCGATGATTCTTACCAGAATATTTCTTGAAACAAACTAAAAAGAATTAAACATAATTTTTAAAAAAATAAATAAAGTTTATATTACCTTAATCATAGACTTACAACCTGCCTATATAAAAATCTAAAGGGATACAAATAAATACCTGTAATAAATTTGTTGGTTCAATGATTCTTACTAGAATATTTCCTGAAACAAACTAAAAAGGATTAGGTACGATTTTAAATCATTTTTACATTACTTTAATTAGTTGAGATATTTCTCTGTAACAAAAACTGATTAATTGAATACAGATAAAGACAAGAAAAATTAATAGGTGGAAAAAAAATATATTAGTAACAATAAAATTTTACAAAAGTCAAAGTGGTTGTTAACTCAAAATCAATTTGATACGAAATATAAATTAAGAGTAAGCTTCAGTACCAAAATAAAGAGAAAAAATTTAGAAAAATATATATTTGTGTTAAGTGATTTGAGTTAAGAACATTAATTATTTCATTTTATTGTATTTAATATTAGTTCATTTCGTGACAAATAGCACATAATATTTTAATTGAAACAACTGTCGTTTACTGCAATATACGTAAGCACAACCATAACTCTACTTGACTTTATTGCATTATATTATTCAATACATCTTTCAATGCAAATTTATTATAAATGGAAAAACTGGAAAGAAAATCACGAGTGGACTTTGCTTTTCAGGAAAAGAATTTGAAAATTTATAAAAGTAATTTAATTAGTCTCTCCGTAAGCTTGAAACAAAACATCGCGACCAAAAATTAAAACTGAACAACTCGAACAACAATCATCCACTACGTTTGTTTAAATAAAATAGAATTAAAATTTAATAAGCTATTTCAAATGAACAAATATTCCTTGAAATAATTGATCACCAATCATCACAAAATAAAATGAATTTTCATTTTAAATAAAGTTCTTTGAATAAAGTTCTATTTAAAACTTTATCGCATTTAATAATACTCTGAAAACATTAAACTCATATATTATTTAACAGTATTTCCAACAACCGAATGCTCAAAGTTTTCAAACATAGAAAAAGAAAAGAGAAAGAGATGGGGGCGGAGCGGGGGTACAAGGGAACCTGAAAAGAAAAGTTTGATTGCCCATAAGAGCAATCCCTAAGCAAATCCTATAAAACAAATCGAAATTACACGCAACACTAATTTAATAAACGCAAAAAAGTGAAAAATTTAATAACAATCACGATTCATTCTCAACACTAATTTCATTAATTATACGTATAATACAACAGCGTACGCGTGAAGGCTGCTCCATTATGCGCAACGCTAACAATAAGCTTAAAAAAAATAAAGGAGAAAACGCGTACTGTAACGCAACTCTACTCAAATCCACCGAATTTTGTAAGACGCAACACTAATCTAAAAAAGTGGTACAGCCAATCCAAGGCTGTACCTCTACAGCTGGTCCATAGCTGCCTTATAGACTATGGCAACTCCACTGCATCGTTTTTGGGCATTTCATCGTATATCGCAACTCTAATGCAAACCGCGAATATTCATTATCGTAACACTAATTAACAGGGAACTCTATAAACTAATGCAAAGCAATCGCGTATTTATAAGTCGCAACACTGGGAAACAATCGCGCTAATGTCATTCGCAACGCTATCTTTAACAGATATGCAATTAAAATGCAAACAAGGGGATTCTCAAACCGTGAATTTTTTATTGGCAACACTAAAGTAATCAACATTAAAAAGCAAAACTCCAAAAAATCTTAAAACAATCAACATTACAAAACAAAACTCTCAAAAATCTTAAAGCAATCAACATTGAAAAGTTAAATTCTATTTTGAAGCAATGCAGAAAGGAAACGTGGTATTTAAAGTTCGCAACACTAATTAAAAATCGCGATAATCATTCATACGCAACACTAAATTGAACCGTGATCGATATTCATTCGCAACATTAATTGTAAATTGAAAACGCGATTTGCGTTCCCCTGTAATTACAAAACTACAACTACAGGCAAGCACAGTGACAAAGTAGTAACGATAATGATTTCCCATCCTTTTTTGCAAAAGGATACAAAATCATTAGTAGTACCCCTCTTGAAAGACAGTTTGTCGGGGCACTTCGGCATATTGCCTCTTCTTTCTTCGAGCGGTCCACCCACTTGAAACTTATATCTAAAGCTCGAAACTTGCAAATTCGTAAAACAAAAAACAAAAATCGCGAAACTCTAATTGATACGTGGATGAAAAAGAACTTTATATAAGTCGTTGTTCGTGCACACATGCCGTGCTCGAATAGAACTTGTGCGTTTCATGCCTAACATCACGATCGCGTATGACGACGTCAAGAAAGTCGCAAAAAATTTGAAAAATTGTACAAATAGAATCAAGGCGAACGGCATACTCCGTTCGTGTCGATTGCATCGTCAATTCTTCAAATATATTCCAGGTACAGGTTGACAAACTAAGGCCGAGCGGCGGTAACATGTATAGGGAAAAGTTGTTCAGAATGATGACCTTGACAACATATTTCAAGGTCACGAAAATCGGTGAGGAGGACCAACTTCTAAATAATTACCATAAATTCTTACGAAATTCTATTTCAAACCCATATCAGGTGTCATGGCGACCTTTCAATATCTATCAAATATCTGTAATGAAAAAGAAATACGAATTTATGTAAATAAAATTTAATCAACAATAATAAAGTTATTATTAATAAACGATCGAACTATAATTGATGCAAAATATTTTAATAGATACAATGCGTACCTACTACTTATGCGGAAGGATGCTCTCAACACGTCTTGTCACTTCGACGTTCGCGAGAGAAATGGCGAGACCTTCTTTCCCACCGAAGACCGATCGGCACCGCTCGGCATTGTTCGGTATATTCCTCTATCGGCCGATACCTAAGCAAGTATTTACACGAACAGGTCTAAACAGGAATAATATTACGACGCTCGAGAAAGAACGTTATTAAATTAAAAACAACAAATTGTGTAAAACAGTACTAAAAACATTCGATAATGTTTAGGAACTTAACGATATAAAAGAGAAAATAATTCAGATTCTGTTGTTCCACTCTTATTGTGCATTCGCGGCAAGAGCAAAAATTGTCAACTCACGTATTTATGAAGAAAACGCCGAATTAATGTCAGAGATCAAGAATTCAGAGTTCTCTTCGATATTTCTTTCTGTTTTTTGCACTTTTTAATCTTACCTGTTGCAGACACGAGAAAGACGGACAAAGTTTCGGAGAAGACTGATGCACTGCACCACATTCCGCACCTTCCCCTTTAGTGCTTTTTCACTAGACGAACTGACACTGATTGATACTATACCCGTGTCAGACCTGCGCACGCAGCCTGTAACAGCGATTTTGATTGGACAAAATTGGGCGGCAAATAATTGCCATTGATGGAAATTTAAAATTGTGTAGTTTAAAACTTCAATACTAAAATAAATGTACAGTACCGAGTATAATAGGTTTCCCCGGGTTCAGAGAACTCGTTTCAATTATATTGATGTCTTATTTTATTTTGATCTGATAATAATGTAGGTATTTGACATGAAAATAGTATGGGAACTACGTAGCCTTGGAGCATGGGACAGGAATTCATGGAATTTCAGATCGCAAGGCACGAACTCCTACAAAATGATTAGTTAAAGGAATTGTTGGAAATCAATTAATAAACACAATATACAGTAGTGTGAGATTTATTTTTAATCAAAAAGATACTAAGAATACAAATTATATTTAAACTGTTATATGTATTTTCGTTTTATATAATACCGAATGAGACAGTTCAGATTGAATTAAAGATGGCATTATTTTTTAATTAATAATTTCAATTACTTTGTTGTTGTGGCTTTGACCAATCTACATTCAAAATAAGATGATCATAACCATAACCATTAAGTGTTGCAATAGCTTTTGCAGCATCTGGTCTATATTTAAAATGTACATATGCAAAACCTTTGCAAAGATTTGTCTGCTTGTCTTTAGCAAGATAAAATTTAAGAACAGTACCAAATGGCTTGACAAGCTCCTCCAAGTCAGCATCTGTAGTACTCTCTGATAAATTAGAAATACGAATAGCCGTTGTATCATCCCGCCTTTGCATTTGCATTGAATCACCGCGTTTATTAGCACCATCGCGCATACCGGGTGGTACGTATTTGCTACCTTGAGTTTTCAATTCTGCCATTGCTCCAGGAGCACCAGGAGTAGTAAGCGGTTTCTTATCATCTGGTACTTTTCCTAATAATTTCATTTCATTTAATTAATAAGCATGAAACATCATTTTTATCCAGAATCAATTTATAAGAATAAAATATACCTCCAGCAAGAACTGTATCTTTGTAGGGACACTTTGATGTCCAATGGTCTCCATTACAATTACGGCATTTAACTACACCTTTATCTCCCATACTCTTTAATTTATCAAGACTATCCTCTTCAACTTTATTCTCTTCTTCTTTACTGGAAATGAATTGCATGAAAACATCTTCACCGCCAACTGTAGTAGCAGGATTAGGTCCAGGCCTGTCATCTGCCGAATCTCCAAATTTAGCCCAATTTTTACGTACAGCAATTGACTTTGAAACTACGCGTCTTTCAATCTTGTATGTACGAACTACCTTGACTTTTTTATTATCTTGGTTATATTTATATTCAGTAAGGATTTTGAATCCATTTTCATAAGTTTCTGAAGGCGGAGGCAATGCTCCTCCCTCTTCTTCTACCTCATCAGCCCAACTGGATTTTGCTTCTGCTACAGGCATGTCTAAAATTCACACAAATGACTAATATGTAGGTTATACAGTGGAATCAATTATTATCTGCAAAAGAAAATTGATGCTGTTAAAATTATTGAGTCATAATGAAGCAATTGAAACACAAGTAAGCATTAAAAATAACCAAAGGATTTAATTTTTCTTGTATACAGCGATTACTATCAAAAACGTTTATGTATTTCAACATGAAGACAGTTACTGTCTGAATAATAATTCTGTGTAATTTCAATTTCACTCAATCCATTCACAAGTACTTTCAAATATGTATGTCAAATGCATTACCTTAAACAACTGCAATTTGATGCAAACACGAGAATTGATATGAATACAAATATTGTATAAAAGTGACAAGAAAGCAAATCTTGTCACATGCCAATGAAATTCAGCTGAAATGGAAGAATTTCCGCATGTGGTAAGTTGGAGTATCAGCAGCTCTGGTGGTGATTCTATGAAACATGAATATCCCGGAATTAATGGCGACGTCTAGCGTTGTCGTGTTCAGAGTGTGAGAAAATAATGTTTTGCGAAGGAGTATTTCGATTCTGCACGAAAAAGTATTAACGAAAGTAAAAGACAGACGCGATTGAATTCCGTGTGAAAGTAAAATAAAGTATTCACGATAATGGACCAGGCACCTGCAGGTAAGAAAAAGAATGTTGTGATCTGAAGATTCGGCCAAGCGCGGTTTTGCACATTCCCACTCCGGGCGAGCATATTAACATTCAATCTCTCTTATTAATTATAATATTTGTGATCTGTCGTTCTAGCATTTTAGTTAGTCAGAGTTGAGGACTTGTGCATTTCCACACAATGGAAGTAATCAGACACGTTAAAAAAAAGACAAAATGTAGATTCTAAATAGTAGGTTATGTAAACCTTTGCATATATTGCAATATATTAGGCTACCATTAAAAATAAACTGTTTACTCAATGAATTTAATTATTTCTCAAACAGATCCTTATAGATATGTTAACAATACAATGAGTTTCAAAACAGATTCAATATTTCAGGTTACGATGGGCTGATTTAGGACTACGTACTTTAAAAATAAGAGATCCTATTTCAGTACTGTATTTAAATATTATATCGTAATCATTTATACTGTAATAATTGTATAAGTAATTCACAATTACTTGGTCATTGTACTAATTCTGTTCCTTTTGGTATAATACCCAGATACAGAGTTACGGAACATCATAGACAAGCTGGCACAGTTTGTGGCTCGCAATGGACCAGAGTTCGAGCAGATGACGAAAAACAAGCAGAAGGACAACCCAAAGTTTGGTTTCCTGTTCGGTGGAGAGCACTTCAACTACTATCAATACAAAGTGACTACAGAGCAAGCCAGTAAGTGGGATACAGCCCCTTAACAGCTACAACAATTGAGAAGCATTATGGCCATGCTTTATTCAACGAACAACGAATGACTTTGAAAAAGAGATACGGGTGAAAGGGTCTGAATTCGTCATAGTGAACATACAAAACTATTATTCATCGAATATGAGCACTTCATTTCAAGATTTTGGGATTGCTATTTATTAAGCAGAATGCTTTAGCTAAAGACGTATTCTATTTCTTGGCAATGGTGATTTTAAGAAGATGTAGTTTTAAGATTCTTACTGGAGCTTGTCTAATACGGACTACATTGTTGATATATTGCTTCAATCTATGTGGGAAATACAGTCCATTGTACCCTGTAATACCCTAGTACTGTAAAAAAAAAAAAAAAAAAAAAAAAAAAAATAATACATGTATATATATTATATAAAACAGGGAAAGAGTATAGTGCTCCCAAAAGACTTACCGAATTTTTGATATAATTCTCTCATAAATGCCAGCAATTTTATTATGCACTGGTAGAAGATAAGACTCAACAGAAATTGGACTATTTGTATACTTTTTCAATATCCATTGAAGGAATCAAACATCTTACAATAATCCACCGTCATTCGTTTACAGTTTTAAAGCAAAAAGGAATAAATCCAATGCAAAATGCAGACCCACGTTTAAACGTTTCGCAGCAGCAGCAAACAGCCGCTACCGTCGCGCAGCCACTGAATAACGTCAATCTTGCACCTGGCCTAAATACTCAAAACAATGGATTAAATCCAGTAGTGGGGATTGGACCAGTGGGAAATCAAGGTGGTCCCGTTATACCTGGAGTACCAGGACAAATTGGAGGGCCAGGAAATGCAGGACCAATTGGACCGGTGCCTGGTGCTATGGGAGGTGTAAATCCACCTATCGCTGGTGTTACTCAACCGGTTAACATCAGTGGGCCCCCTGGATGGCTTCAAAATGAATTGGCAAATCTTCAGTCACAGCAGACCACACTACAGGAACAAGTTAGACAATCAGAACAAAATCTGGCTGCGCAACATGCTGCATTGATGGCACAACAACAAGGAAGGGTTGAGGATGCTGTGAGACAAGCTCAAGAAACAGCTTTACAAAATAGTGCGCAAAGCACGAATACAGATTTGACCGCATTTGATGCAGTTCTACAGCCTATCATTGATAGTTGCACAAAAGATAGCATCAGTGCAGGAAAAGCCTGGATACTTCAAAATTCTATTACGCCACAAAGTAATCAAGTTGTTGCAGACCATTTGCTAAAGAAGTATGTTTTCTTAAACCTCAATTGTGTGACATTAAACATACATCCACGCTAATTTTTTTTAAATATTTCTTTCAGAGTAATTCAGGCGACAAATTTTAGTCATAAACTCCATATCATCTACTTGGTCAACGATGTTTTACATCATTGGTAAGTAGAAGATGTATTTAAAAATCATTTGAAAATTTTGAAATGTTCGTGTTAATTGAAAATGTATGTTTTAAATAAAAATGTATTTATTAATACAATGAGTACGAAGTTCAGTAGTACTTGTAATTGTAAAATTTGATAACTTCCGTAAAATACGCGAGCACGGTACTTAATGGCAAACTTCTTTAGTGCAAGAAAAAAATCTATGGATCTTCGCAAGGCAATGGAAAGTGTTGTTGTTCCCATGTTCTGTAACACTTCACTAGCTGCATCAGAAGAACAACTTAATAAATTAAATAAACTATTAAGCTTATGGGAATCAAAAAATAATTACTTTGATGAAGGAATTATAGATAAGTTGAAACAACCAAGTACGTCTTGGTCTGAGTATCAGGCCAACCTGGTTGCACAGCATGCTAGTGCAATCACACCGATTACCACGTCAACAAAACAGACATTTGATAATTATCAAGCACAACATCAAGCGTTCGTTACTCATGCTTTGAGACAAATTCAGAACATTGAGCAGCAAAAAATAGCCATTGATCAACAATTGAAAGCTCCACCCCCACCTCCACCACAATTGGTAAGGCAATCATTTTCACAGATTTAATGTTTATATGCTTAAGAAGTACTAAGAAAAAAGTAATCATTCACAGAATCAGCAGAATATGTCTATACCACCTAGTCATTCCGGCCCTCCTGCTCCAATAGCCACAGATGTAAATTTCAGTCAACCACCGCCAGGA